GCTAGGCGCGGCTGCGCTTTGCAAGGAGTAAGAGCTCAGTAGGTAGATATGATAGAGTGATTCAATAATAAAAACGCGTTCATATTACGCGTTTTTTATTTGTCTTGAAAAGGTTGCCAGAAACATGTACTGGCTCGCTAAAAATGGGAGTTGGCCTAGAGTATCACGTGACCATACTAGCGACATCCTGGCCATCAATTGAAACACTCCCCTTGGTAACCATATACATACGCTTTATGAGATGTAACATGCTTGATTTCCTCGCTCCGCTTGGTCCTACAATAGCAGCTTTCGTACCCCCTTCGACTTTTGTGCTTATCTCGTTGTGGGCTTGCTTGTCGCTCCTTGGATAGGAAAATGTGACTTCTTTGAACTCCACTTCTCCTTTCACGTACTGCAGGTCTAAGTTCCCATCTTCAAAGCTTGGCTTACATTCCATTACCCTTCTGCAGCGGCAAGCAATGAGGAGGGCGCATGCATATTGCCTCGTTCCACAAGTTTTCTCATAGCTGGCCAAGATTAAAATGGAATGGAATGGAATGAAATGAAATAAAAAAGCGCCTCCAACAGGCCACTCCTGCCTGAAGCTTTCTGACAGGTCCAGCCCTCTACGGGTTGTACATGGCGACTGTTCTCATAACCAACCTGGTCATGGCTGAAAACTGTGGTCCATGCCAGTACACCATCACGACGTGCACGCTCCAGACCTGTTCCGGTTCTGGCAAGGCGGGCAAGGGAAGGATTGAGACCAGGATTGCTTAAGGACTTTACCCCATAGTGCGCGCAAAATGGCAGTGTGAGAGAAGACGCGATGTCGCATGACCGCAGGCGAAATGGAATTCCTCCCAATTACACATTTCTGTCCCGCCGTTCCAGGGTGTCAATTATGATTTACCCTTTCTCACGGGGTAGTGGCTTCATCCACTAGCTATATCAAAAGGTTTCCTCTGCCCCTCAATTCTCGTGTTCCAAACAACACTCTCTCTTTGGTTCTACCCCAAATTCCACAGCCCAACACAAGAAACCTGTGGACCACAGCGCTTGACTGCCAGCGGGTAGTTGTCGAAAATGGGAGGTTATTACAAGTACCGATGCAAATATTTCTTTACACAAAATTGCACTCATTGGGTTTGGGTGTACAACGCGTCATGCGCACATTGTTTGGTGAGTCGAAGTCGGGTTGTGATGGATCGCTGCAAGTGTACTGACCATTCTAGGCTGACGGGCGTGACGAGGAAAAGACCAATCTTCCGAGCAGCCCCCCAAGACTGGAACGTACCCGCCCGCCTATGAAGGCTGGCATCGTCAGTGATGGTGTGGCAGTTCCTGACGTGGGTGTGACCACTGGGTTTCCTGACGTGGGAATTGCGAGAGGAGGGGGTGCACATTGCACATTGATAGGTAACCTTAAACTGGGCCCTGGGGACAGAGACGGCGAGGTGCATGCAAGCTATGAAAGTCACCATTTGTTAATCAAATATCATATCATATTATCCTTGAATGTCTCAACTTACTTGGTTGTGCTGATTCCACTAACTTGTATGCAGTTGCTAACCATCGCCGCCACGCCGGATGCAATACTATGCCAGTCGCTCATTCCCTTGATATGCACCCAGCTGAAATCTTCTCCCACCGCCTCCTGCATCCAGCTATTATCTCTAGTATGCTGGAGGAACTCTTTGATGAACAGCTTGCAAAGTTGCTGTACTTGGTCTTGTTTCTCGCTAAGCTCGAGCTGCTTATACTGTGTTATAGACAGCTCCGTTTGTATATGATACTCCACAAACTTATTTCGCGCCGCTAGGAGATTAATCCACATCAAATCCTTGCGCCCACCGTACCATCGAGTATACCCAATTGCAACGTTCATTGTATGCTGTACCTCCGCCTTGGAGGCTTTTTGCTTGATGCAACCTAACGAGAAATCTATCCCCGTCAACTTGGTCGGTTGATCAGTCAGAGAGTGGGTATCACCGTCAATTTCCATTTGTTGCATGTCGCTGTCAGAAAGATGTCGTTTGGATGAAAATTCTTTTATTGGTTTTGAGACGTCGGGACACGTTGTTGCCTCAGGTTGGGGTTTGGTTTAGCGAGCGTGACGCACCAAGTTGGCGACGACTTCTACTAAGGCTTGCAATTGTCCACACCTCCCTCGTTTCCCCGAGTCACCAAAACATGGCTGTGCCTGATAGAGCAAAATCGGGGATTGTGCAGAAACATATGAACGATGCAATTGGCTCAATTCATTGTTCCTCTAATGATCAATGGAGCAACCTTCTTGTACATGTGACCTTCGTAATATAATTCCCCTTCTAACAGTGTTTATTGTTGGCTCGCAATACGTTTGTCAAGCAGCAAATCGAACGGTGGGGTTTCTCTATACTTGAATCTACATTCACGGCTGAACTCTTCTACAGGGGTGTTGACGGTATGTTATCTTTGCTCGGTTTTTGGGCTGGTTCTGCCTGGGGGCACTGAGAGTTTTTGGGAAGACATCTTGTTGAATTAGTACTAGAAGGAGTGTCGATTTGGAAACAGAATACCATCGAACAACTCAGAAAATTGCAAAAGAATGAAACGTAGAAAAGAAAATTTCCGCCACGTAGGTAGGGCATCCGCCATCTCGGCAATAGATTAACAAATGGTGACTTCTGTAGCCTGCATGCACCTCGCCGTGCCCTCCTCCTCAGGTGCCCTATCAACTTCCAATTCCCCCGTCAAGACGCCAACTCCCCAAGGAGACCCACCTGGCTTCCGAAATCCAACCGGAAACGGATTCAATGAAAGACAAACAAGTGTTGCAGATCTTTTGGATTTTGCTTCCTGAAAGTCGGGATTCTGCATTAGACTTGTCATGAATTCATCATTTCACTTTGTTGTTCAGTGGTGCGTATTTTTCTTTGCATCTACATAAGCCCTTTGATTCCATAGCAAGAGAAACATCCCCGTCCATCCATCCATCCATCCATCCCTCCACCGCCCATCCGCCCAACCGCTCAAATTATCAACCCTTCGATCCTCCAACTCCCAATGGTGACTCAGCAGCCAAAGCTTTTCGATGTATTGAAATTGTCGGTTGTGCCGGAGGAATTTGGCGATACTAGTGTGTATGTAGAGGCGATGGATGTGGACCAAATTGGCATCCTCCTGGTACCAATGGACGACAAGGCTGATGGTGGCTGGTGCGACGTATCTCACCTTATGGATACACTCAAGAATGCCTGTTTCGAACCGATTTTGGAAGAGAGGGTCGCTGTGTTAGAAAAGCTCGCCGGAAGCGTAAATGAGACGGACCATCATAAACTCCACATAGTCCTCGAGGCAAAGTTCTCCCGCAAATGCGATATCATAGACGGATATACGGAGAACCTCCCTATGCTACTTGGAAGGGTTTTGGAGGTCTTGGAAAAGGCGAATGGGAAAGCAATGGCAGGGAGAGGAAGATGGCCAATATTGCCCGTTTCGTGGTACACCGGGAAGCCTTCTCCGGATCTGTCAGTGCAAATCACCGACATTCGCAAATACCTGTTCCACATTTTGGAATTCCAAAGCAAGATTGGATATAATCTCCGAGAATATAGTCATTTATTACGGTCCAACTTAGTAAGTAGAGTGTAAAGTATATGCACTTCACATTTCTAACTTCGTAATAGGGCACCATGTGCCACGTTAATCTCGTGGAGGATCGTCCTGAGTTCCAAGCTGTGGAGGCCCCTTCAACACCATCCCAGGTTCGTTTGTCGGAGGTGCTTTCTTCCCTTGGCTGATTTTGCTAGTAGTATGGACTTGGGCAGATAGTTACTACATTCACATAATCTCACTCTCCTTTTCTCCTACCACCACTGGAGCCACTCATTTGTACCTAGTGTTCTGCAATTGAATTACTTTGTTTCTCGACAGGGCGCTTATAAAATGCCGGGGGCTACGAAAGGAAAGGTGGGACAAAACAAGATGGTGGGTTCAAAATGGTGGCGCATAGGCCAAGTATTCGGTCACTATTTGAATATCTGACTTGAGAGAAAGGTATTAATTCTGAATGAACTTCTAAGAATAGAGATGTTCTATGGCCAATTGAAGCCACCTCAAGCACATTATCCTTGAAACCCCGCCCCCCCGGAAACATTAAGCTGTGAGGAGCTCATTCACAGAAAAATTCGACCTCTTTGGCCGTGGTGCACCTACTTGAGCCTCTTCTTCTTCCATAGGTCTTTTGCCAACTCCCAGTTTGTTATCAATCTCATGCATTTTGTCCATAGTTGTCAATTTTGCATCCTCATCAGTATTAAGAATCTTGTCTACACTCTCGCTTGTCTCGCGGGCAGATCCCCATGGTGTGAATGAGATTCCATCCACAGTAGCCAAAGCTCGATCTGAGGAACGAGGATATTCGTCTTGTTGAGTATGCGATTGTTGTTGTGCTAGTGCTTCCAACTGTTAGCTTCTGCCTGACGATGAGCACCGAAACCCACTTCCTTTCCCTTCATATCTTCAAACAAGGGCAGTTGATTCCAAGAGACAAACTCACGATATGATCCGAAACTCTTGTTTGTGCCCTTCTCCTTCTCCTCTAAATTTGTAGCCAACTTTCCATCGTGGAATTGGTGTATAGTCCCAACATGCCTCCTCGCGGTGCCCTCAATCAATTCTTGGTGCTTCTCCTCAAGATACTCTTGTCCAGTGTTCTCAATCAATTCTGCCCCATCAAGGGAGTCGTCTTCTGTAGGTTTGGAGTCCCACTCTATCGGGTATCGGCTTAGTTGGTGCTCATTCTTAAGATGAGTCTTAGCAGTCGTCTTCGTTCTGAAAATACAACCACACCTTATCTGATCGCATTTGTATTTTCGGTGGTTTTGTTTGAGCTTGAAATATTGGGGCAATTGGCTGGACGGAAGAAGAAGCATTAGCTGTTGTTAAACAAAAATATGAGACGGGATGTACTTTTCAGTTTCTTTTCCTTTCTGCAACCCCTCTTCCTATTTGCAATCTGCAATGCAGCATCGATACTTATCTACGACTAGGTCATTAAAACCCTCGTCTACCTCCCATTCCTTTAGCTTGTACGAGAGAGCTTCTTGCGAAAAACTCCAAGAATCACCCGTGACTTTCCTATGAACCATCCATGCAAAAGCGCCCACTTTCTGTTGACCAGGTTTAGGAATGATCGCTAAAATCTTTTGCTTATTCTGCTCCAATCCAGAATGACCCCTTGGGGGTAAGTTGTGAGAGGCTATCCATATGTCAATGTGCTTTTCGAGATCAGCTTCTTTCGCTCTGCTGAAGACATGCTTGTATATATGTCTGGTTAAGGCTCCGTAGCCATGGAGTTGAGCAACATCTTCCGCGTAATGATCGATAGTGCTATGTGGGATTTTGGTTGTAACAGCTTCATGAGGGAGAGGGCGTCCAGAAGGGAGATGAGTGGGATTGTCCATATTGGCGAACCCGTGGCTTTGAGTAAGGGATAGAGTATGTGGTTGTTTCGGCAATGGGCGTGTTGCTTGGAGCTCAAGAGAGAAACGGCGAAGGCGTAAAGTGTCGCCAGAAGCTTTGACGATGTTACAATCATCGCACATGTATAGATTTATGTGAGTGTTTATACGATGTCTATGTAGCATTAACCTTTATAAACCAAAAAGCATAGGAGTGAGTACTTACTTAATCTTTTCAGTTTTAGGGCATATACCACACTGAATGTACCCTCCAATTTCTAATAATCTTTGAAAATTCTCACCCTGATTCACTTGCTCTACCTCTTCCGCTTCAAATGATGACCATCCACAAAGGCTACAATCAGGTCGTTGTAGACCTGTAAAATGCTTGTCCAATCCCCATTCCTTCAATTTGTACGAGAGGGTTACGATGGAAAATGATAGGGGATCGGCTGGCTCTGCTTGTTGAAGTGATTCGAACAAATTGGCTCCTGATACTCTTTAACATAGTACTCACTGCACGCAAGGCGGGGAAGGAATTCTGTGGCGTAAGCAAGCCCACCCTAGAGCACTAAGCCTGTCTTTGCATATGCAGGCAAAATCCAATATTCTCATCACAGGGATTGCAGCTGCCTTCATCTGTCAGGCTGGATGGTGCGGCAGGCAAAGCTCGCTAAGACAAGACGGTCCCTCTCCGCATTATACCTTCGCAAAGACCTTGCTACATCCAACCATTGATAGGTTACCTGCTCATTGAATGATCTCCATAGATAAGAGCAATATGAATCATAAGATGACTTTGCATGGATTTTCAGCCAAATTGTGCTAAGGGGTGGTTGGTTTTATTCATGTCGGAGTTATGGAAAGACAAAGTTCAGATGCATAATAATTGGGTTTAGAACGTTAACACACGCAGCGAAACAAAAGAGCAGGTTACATAATACCGACAATTCCAAAATTGTTTCTGGCCTCCCATCTAATATTCTCACAGGTGTGTATATACAGAAAAATACAGCCCACGACAAGTATGTAACAATAATATCGATGAATAGGTGATCTAGCGGTGGTTTATATGAGAGGGTTCCCACGCCACGGCCCGTATGCCTCCGATTTCCTCGTTCGTCATACAAACAATGTTTGTAGCTCGGCGGAGAGGTGAAAGACGCGTGGTCTCGGATATCCTTGTCCTCAGTTGGAAGGGAAACGGTTCTGATGTTATCGTCATTCATATCCAGACCGATTCCGAATTAGAGTTGCTATTGAAGCTTCGCGTAGATTCGAAATTCGTATCGGAGGTCGGATTAAATTCGACGTAGTTGTTTGGATCTTTATTACTCCCTGTACTTTTATTCTTCCTCTGATTGACGATGATGTACCCGATCCATTGAATATCGAGAAGGACTGCAAGAGCTATGTGTACCTGAATTTTGTAAGTATAATCCGAGAAAACAAAACAGTACATACTATAAGGAATACAGGCCCATTCTGTACAAAAATCAAGAAGACGAGTGGAGGTATCATAGCAGTAGTAAGACCAAGAACTGCCGTAGTTCTTTTGTTTCTTTCCTGGAGGTATTGTCGTTGATTGACCACCGGGGCGACCAGGGCGATGATTGCAGTCTGCATTGCAAAGACCACCATAATGCGACTAAGTAGTCCATGAATTTCCAAGGAGATAAAAGTAATGCCATTACAGCCAGATCCAAGGACGAAAAGACTAATGATAGCAGCAAAAGTAAAGCGAGGTATATTTCGATGGTTGATGATTTTGTCAAATATTTTCCAGCATAGCCATCCCTATTCTAGGTTAACTTGGCGCGAGAGCATTAAAATGATAACCTACCTTGAACAATACACTTTCCAGGAGGCACATGCCTTGTAATCCGACCAGATATACTAGCTTAGTCCGTGTATAATACAAAGCAACTAATACGATGTTGATGACAAGAAAGAGGATTGTGAAGGACGCCTCGGATAGAAACTCCCCGTGGGATCTCAGACGTAAAGGATTACAATGGTAATGGTATAAAACATAGCCATGCATTGCAAAAGTGAAGCTAGTGAAGAACAAGAATATCGTAGTGAGAATCGAAATAAATAGGGTAGTCTCCATGGTTGGAATTGAGGAATGATCTAAATAGTTGAAATCAAGTGATTACATTAGAGTGACTCAAATTGAATGATTGAAATCCAAAGATTGAAATGTAGTGATTGAAACGAAGTGGCAGTGATTGAAATATAGGTATGAGCGTGCAGAGGGGGGTCCCTTCTCTTGTACCTCCAACCCCTACAATTCTCCCCACAACTCAATGAACTTCAGCTAGTCGTCCCCTCGCTACGCGCTCATTCTTCGCTCCTAATATTTCTCCCTCTTCTACCTTTGCAGTTCTCAACTAAGGGGCTATACCCGGAACCCGAATAGTACTACTCTGGTTAGAGCATGTACTTTTCCATTTCAAGCCTAAAGACTTCCTCGCTGGATTTTCATTTCCTCTTCCTTCGCTCCCCTCTCAGCCCTTGCCTTTAAACGTAATGCTCTTCCAATCCTATGTCGCTATTGGCAACCTGCAAAGGCAATCGAACGTACTTACATGCTGTTATTTGATAGAGGGGAAGAAGTGTTGTTATCAAGCAGTCGTTCATCAGTCTGGTAGGGCCGCCGGCTTTGATATACTACGGTGCAAATAGAGCTGGAGGAATGAGTCAAGTCATTCTGTTATATAACAACTCTAACAAAATTGAATAATAGGATTGGCATATCTGTGTACCAACTCACCAGCTTCTCGATGCGTCCTCTCTCCTTAAGTCGCGCCAACCCCCTATGCGTCCGACAAACAGAACGGCAACGCGCTTGTCAAGAGAAATAGACATGCCTGGGACAGACTCTGATAAGGAGAGTGTTATGGTAGCGATCAAGGAATAGATTGTTCGCAAAGAGTTAACCTCTCTATGCTCCTGGGAGTGCTTTTATACCCTCAGAAGGCTGATTATCTAATCGAATAACAAAATCTAATTCACTAAATATGCCACTATTCACTCTTTTCAAAATCGTCACAGAGAGCTCCATAGGAAGTGAAGAAAACGACGATGACCAGCCGGTCTGGCCACAAATACTACCAAACATGGCCAACCTTTTGTATGGCGACGTTATCTACAAATGCTGGACCAAAACCGCTTACCCAAACGTGCATGCGGTTCGAGATGCTGTTGTGAAGGAAAGGAACTAAATTAAATCGTTTGAGGTTTCGAGTATTGCTTGGTTCTGAGAGCTCTCGGTATAGATGGTAAAGGAGATTGTATTAGAGAGAACCAGGAGTCTGAGAAGCATGATAGACTGGCTAGCATGATTCAAACGCCGTTGGCCTTCTCGGAATGATTAGCCAGGAAGCTTTTGATTCTTTCGATCCCTTGCAAATCCCCTTCAACCGTTTCGCACTTTTCCTTGTCTACCCAACCAGGAGTGTAGCTTCCTCCAAAGTCAATTAGCCAGATATTGCCCTCATTGTTAACGAGAATATTGTGTGGACTAGCATCCCCCCAGACGATGCCAGCGTTGTGTAGCTTCGTGATGCAATCGTCCAATTCGCTTGCCCAGCGGGAAAGTGTTTCAGTTGTGCATTTCCCGCCACGAACCCTGTAAAACAATGTCCCCATCCGACTCAGTTTATTTGTCTCGATGAAAGTAAGCAAGACCCCAAGAAGTCGTTGTTCCGTAGAAGTCTCCAATATGTCTCTGTCGATCACAACTCCATGTAAATGGCAAATTCGCAGGTCGGGCCCAATTGTTCCTAACGACATGGCCTCCTTGATTCTTTTGTAGATGTCAAGCTCCCGATAGATCCCTCCCGGAGGTTTACCGAAGCTCTTAAAGAAAAATGGGTTGCCATCGGCCAGAACTTTCTTCGGGCCACTTAATCGAGCATCGCCCAGATTCGAAGGTGCAAGCGAAATTTGACCTGATGAATATATATTCCTTACCCATTCCTCGAGCTTCAGATTTACCAATTGCGGCATCCGAATGTTGCCTCCAGGAAGGGTAAGATCTTGTCCGGTGATTGATGCCCTAAAAAACGGTGTTGACTTTGTATCCTCCGCACTTGCTCTCGCCTCAAGCACAAAGTGCTTTGGGTATAGGTAGTCTGATAGTAGATCGCCGGCGACGTCTTGGGCTTCAGGCGCCAGGCTTGCCATCAGAGGTTCGAACGGTCTTGCCAGCTGGTTTGCCACCTCGCTACCAGCTTCGGTGTCTAAGGCGTGTAAAGAATTGAAATGCTGTTGTAGGAGGACAGGAGCCTTGATGGTTTCGGGCGAAAACCGGATACAAAAGACAACACCGTAACCACGCACACGGAGTTCAATGTCATCGTCTCCTGTCGTCCAGTTTTCAATATAAAGATCTTGCATATTAAGCTGAGCATAAAGTATGTGTTTGATTGTGGGTACTAAATGTAGTTCAGATAGCTGCAGCCTCTTTAATAAATATCCCAAATTCACAGCCCTACGATCTTGCAACCCAGACCACCACCGCGCCAAGAACTCGCTGACGGAATCACCGCAGGGTCATGGCCAGCTGCAGTATTGTCAGAATTTGAACCAATGACATATGGGTATATATCAAGACAACAAACAACCAAAGATAGTTTTGGAAAGTCTTACCTGTCCTACTAGTCCCAGCAATATTGACACTCCTTGTGTCCGCACGCAGCATTGCTACAGGTAAGGCTACCAACCGTCCTCGTCTGACATTGGTGGCAACTCCATCCGTAGTCTTTCCGTACCCTCCTCCGGCATATCACTATGGTGTCATCACGATTGCAGGTGCCAGCTATAGGAATTCGAGCAGTTGATGCAACTGGATTACAACGGTAGTACATCCCATTATCATCTACCGTTGCATTAGGACAGTCCCACGCATTCTCCGGGTCCCAAGTCGAGGTTTTGTGACCGCATCGATATTCGTACTGAATTTTTTGGCACATGGTGTATGGACGGTAGAGCTACGTGATGATTTTATTGGAGATTGGATTGGAGATTGGATTGGAGATTGGATTGATGTAACAGATCTAGAGGTGGACCTGAGGAGCGTTCAGTAAGACTATATATACTTCAAAAGCCATCGCACCTGAGAACGATCGTATGCCTGTGTGCCTCGGGATACTTTAAAAAACGTCCGGTAGCCCTGTCTCGCTAAAGGCTCAATTCTCTTTTTATTTGTGTTAAATTTCTTGGTATAACGTAGGCCTACAAATGCTGCCCTGTTTATATTAAAATTGCCTGATTTTCGCAAGGGTTCTTTGTCTCCCCTCAGTGTATCCCACAAAATCCACACTTTCTAGTCTGTGCACTCGACATGCTTGGCATTGAAGTAGCACGAATTCCATTCCAGCAAACGGTAGAATGCCTCCTCTTACACTAAGATATTAAGATCCGATCTGTCTTCCATTTGTATCTTGCCGGGAAGATCCCCTTACATTGTCTACTCTGCACCTTTCTGTTGATGATTTCCAGCCATGTATAATAATGTCCCATGCCGTAAGTATATCGGCAGAGGACGAGAGGCCAACACTTTCCCTCTTGGACGGCCAGTCTGTAGCAGTTGGAATGTCGCTGAGCATTTCATCCATTTCGCGCTCCCACCTTTGTTGTTTTCGTTGCCTCTTTGGAGGCGGAGCCTGGCTTGAGAAATCATGTATATCGATTTGCGGATCGTATTCGACGAATTTGAGAGTTGCAATAGGAGTCTCTTCGGTGTCGGAATCATGAATTTCATTATCACGCACCTCTGAATGCGGCGGGGATGGAGGAGATCAGAGCAAACAGGAAATACTAAAGCCAGGATATTATATCAACAATCTGGCGTGGTCACTCTCTCACTCCGCGACTAACCTCTCCTGCAGCTACAAACAACGAAACCCCCCTCTCGCTCGGCTATTAAACCCAATGATAAACTTCATCGTATTAAGGCTCTCTTCAAATAGTACTGGCTTCTCTTTCAAAGCCAAAGCATGTGATGTACCTAAAATATTCTGGATCTAACGACTGTTAACCAAGGAGAATAGAGATATGCTATATGTGATCTTTACCTGCCGCCTGTTGCCAGGTTGCTCCTCGAAGAATCTTCTCCATAGCTGGGCCTGTGAGATCACCCGATTTTTTGACGGTCTGCTGGAGGATCCCGGCGATCGATGGGTCTGTGGATGGGTTATTGGAATGAGCCTGTCCAGGTTTGTCATCAACTTTGGACGACTCTGGCTGCTTCGGCTTCTTAGATGATGGTTGATTCGGAATTTTACGCGGGCTAGTATGATCCCCCGTCCTGTGATCTTTCCCCTACAAAAATCCCGCTGCTTTCGACCAGTACGCACGTATTTACCTCTGTGTGTAAGACAGCGTACCTTGGGAAAACCAGATCCATCTACTTAAGGAGTATTACTTAAAGAGTACTGGAGGATCGTAGGATGCACCGCGTACCGGTAGTTGAGTCCTCGTGGTTTAGGGACCAACTGGCATGAAAATCGCACGTGACAACAGCGGGGCTCCCGAATTTTTCGCTCAACACACTTCAGGCCGCAAGCCAAGCGGAACGTTTTATCGTCAGGCGCTGATGACAACGTGGGTCAACCATCAGCCTTTCGGCTTTTCCTAATTACTGCTGGAGTATGTAACTCAACATATGGACCCGCTGCTACAAATCTAACAAGACTTCTAACGGTATCAGACATCCCGCAAATTTACAACCGAAACGCAAGCAAGCACTCCACCTCATCCTAGCCTAAAACATTCCTACTCCGACTCAGAAGATTCGATCGATCTGCAGCATCATACCAGAGCTCATAGTATCGCGTATTCCAGCGAAGCTACCCGCTACGGCCTTCAGTACTGCCACGCCGTTGAATAACGGAATTTGGACTGGGGAGCTCGATCAAATGCCTATCCAAAACCCTATCGAACCCGTCGATTCGGAGGGTCTTCGCACAAAGATCCTAGCTACGAAACCTGGCCAAGAGAAGGTCATATTAACGGAGGTCAAGAATCATGTAAGTGAGAGCTTCTTCACAAGGTACACCGGCTAATTCTGAGCACTTCAAGCTCGAAAAGTCAGGATACGCAACGTACCAACAGACCATAGAGGAAACGAGAGAGGTGGGCTTGACAGGGAAGTGCATAGTCTTTCTCATTAGAGGCGCGTTTGAGGTTGGCGGGAATACCATATCGAGTAATGGACTAGGACACCCAGTGCATGATGAGAAGACCCTTCGACTGCAACAGAATACTGTTATAGTAATCATCAATACAAACTAAGTTGATCCTGCCTATTGAACAAACTCCTCAGGACTCCTCAGGAATCTGCCATCCCGCTGGCACCATATTTGGTCTGCCATAGGCAAACTCCTCAGGAATCTGCCATCCCTCCGGCACCACACTCGGTCTGCCATAGACAAATTCTTCAGGAATGGGCCAACATAACTCCTGCGCTCGCGACTCTGTATTGTATGATAAAACTTCGTTACCTAACACATCGCCGTTGACAGAACCAACTCTAAAAGCTCTGGTTTGTTCAGTGGTAGCCTTTTCATTAATATGTCCCATTCCATCCACAACAGGTAAACTACTGTCCAATTCTAGCTGATCGGCCCCCCTAAAGTAGTCTTTCTGCCCTGCGGCTGCCAACAGCAGATCTATCGAGTTAATGTTACTAGGAGGAACTTCCGTTCCCCTAGCAGTCCCATAATCATGGACGGGGCCTGTCACAATTAATTAGCAATGACACCATTTATACTGGCATGAAGACACTAATACCATGGGGACCTTCGGCTGAAGATGCTGTGGGTTTTATACCGGCAATCTGCGGTGGAGGTAGTTTTCTGCTACGATAAATTTCCAGCCATAGCAAATAATCGGCAGATAGCAACTTGGGATCGTAGCAGAGAGCAGTGCAGATTTCTGACAGACTAGGCAAATTAGAATAGCTTCATACTTTCTCGGAGTGTAGTGGCTTTCACCTATAGATCTCACCAAGAATGGTTTTGATAAAGAATGGAATTGAGAAAGGTAGAGATGCGTGGACCTCGAATTCCGAACTTTGGTGTGCGCGTTTTGAGATCTCCCTCAGGAAATATGAAGAACCCTCCTCTCCAGCGTCCGCGAAACGGCCATATTGTGCGACCGTTCGACCGCCTAAGTTGTTCGGATAAGCCTGTGACAGATAATATGCTCTGGAGATACCTTCTACTCACATAATACAAAAATCTCGGTCCCTAAGTGACGAAGCCCTCCAGCTACCAATGTAGAAATCATCCGGTTGACCCAGCCCGAACCCCTCCGGAGAACATCAAGGTTCTTCGGATCGGATTGACTTACACAAGCCTGCATCACAATATCTATACGACGTTTCTCTATGCCATGGTACACTAAGACATGGCATAACGATACGAAGACCAGTGTGCAGAAATTGACAATATTTGTTGTAAAATTCCTCCCAATTTCCATTGCAGCTACGCCATTGGCGTAGCTATTCGTTATCTGTAGGGCAGCATCGGCAGGTCCAAACCGCGCAGGTACACAATCTGATTCGGTGGACGTGGGTTCGATAGATGGTATAACATTCTTGATGATTGCATCAAATGCAACAAGAATTTCTGGCAAGGAGGAGAGCCCAACAGCTCTCCTCTTCGATGACCAGTCTTCGGCGCTTGGAATATCGCGTAGCATGTTGTCCATCTCCTTTTGCCATCTCGGCTTCGATTTTCTCCGCCTCTTTGCTGATTGGGGAAGAGTATCGGGTTCATATGGTATGAATTCAATGCGCCGGGTCGAAGGTCCAGCGTCTGAATTGTCGATTCCTTCGTCGCACACGTCTGATTGAGGAGAAGATGGAGGAGAATAGACTGTTGTCAATTGCTTGACTTTGGTCTCGAGATATACAACGTACTCAGAAAGAGTACCCTGAAAGTTGTCAATTCGTTGTTCTGTGGCCATTGAAAGAGGTGCGGGAGGTTAAAGGACCAAAATAAGAGATGTCGATGGAAATGGGGTGTTGTGGAATGGAAGGGCACGGGTCTTACTCGATGGGGCAACCGCACTGAAGGTTGCCTGTTGGAGCATGGCTTGCATGGGCATGGTTTAACGAAGAGCTCTGGCGGTACAAGGGCTAGTATCACTCATATGCCAGTGGAGGAATGATTCCATTTTGGTAGCAATATCAGATTACAAGGGCCAGTATGTATTGAGTGCCATGAAAATGACCTGTGCGGTGCAAGCGAAGCAACTCAATACATACTGGTCCTTGTAATCTGATATTGCTACCAAAATGGAATCATTCCTCCGCTGGCATATGAGCGACAGGCAGGGCAAATCTGCTTAAAAAGAGCGATCGACCATGCGACCGATTAGTGTGGTTATAACATCAAGTTGATACTAAATTGTCCGTGGGTCTTGAATATCTCATTTCCAATGTAGGGATTCAGTTCAATGTATAAAGTAAAAGATGTGGAATGAGGCAACCAACTGCATGCACCCTCTTTCATTTCTCATTGCTCACCGCTGTTACACTACGTTTTCTTCCTCGATCATGCTCGCCTCCTTTCTCTCAAAAGAAATAGGGGAACGAGTTACTCCTGGCTTGTCCACCCGCTACGTCTTACCAACCCCTCCTCCATGGGAGGAAGGAGTTCGCGAGTTGCTCAGAACCACCCATAACTGGGATACAATTCGACACATCTGCCAGCTCCCTTTTCGAGATCTAAATACACCTCAAGTTACATTATTGGACCGGTGGGATTCTGGATTAGATTCCTTTTTGATATCCTTTGCTGCCGGAGCTCAATCCAACGAAATCCTCGAGTGGACCAGAGATCGCAAGGCCAGGGAGCTTTTCAGGCTGCTACAACCAGTCAGGGGGGCAGCTGTTTGGATGTGGTCTTGGACACCACCAAATTTTGCTTTCCAAGATCCTTGTGCGATCGCGGACGAATTGCATAATGTTGTCTACGCAGCTGTACACAGGGTCACTTTCCAAGAGTGGGTGAGCTACTTGTATGGACATGAAGAGCATGCCGTTACAAGCTTGTTATGTGGAGTTTGGAATACACGCGAAATCCTTCATAGAAGGCTATCTCACCGGGTGAGGAATAAGTACATTGAGGTTGAGGAGGTGAGTCTCTGTGACAGGACTCTCTGTAACCAGCTGCTAATGATATCATCAGGAACTGCACTCTCGACACCCTCTGGCACACTGGATTCTTGCCAGCGGCCTACAGTTCAGCTCCCCCCAGCCCCAAGATGCCCTTAATCATCTCTTCCGTCCCATTTTGGACCTATTTGCAAGTAAGGACCCGGCTTGTATAGTCAATCGATTTGCTGTTCTAGATATCCGGTTTACCCTCATGGCTGAAGAGGAAGGCAATTGGAGTAAACTTTCCACGAACTTTTCCTTTCTCGAAGGCATCACTTGCAATAAGCTAATGGAGTTGGCCGAGTCAATCACGGATACCGAGAGCGAGCTCTTTCGCCACTTTTCAGTCGATGATTTCCTCCAATATCGCGAGGAAACCCGCTTTACGTATGCCAAGCAATGGTCAGCGTTAAGTGATGATGTCTTCGCATGTCTTACTGCAGACCGTAGCTTAGTCGGGCGTGTTACGAAGGTTGTAAAGGCAAGTGAAACTCTTCCTCTTTACCTGTTTTAACCAAGTCTAATACTTTCCAGCATCTTCGTCTCTTGCGGAACCAAAGCTCTTTGATAGCAGTGCTTGATGGCATCCGAAGGTCAAAAATTCCTCCTATAGAGCTATCCGAGATATCGAAATTGTTTAGACTCGTCGACTCGCACAACAACTATGCCTTCTACCGGAAACAGTCATCCAAGGAGTCCAACCCCGTGCTTCCGTTCTTACTTCCTTATTTTCAAGCAAGTACAATGAATCCTGTCAGCGGCCTGAATGAATTCTTTCAATTTGTGCCATACTTTGGGTGGAGACAACGGCGTGGCAGATTGGTCGAAGGGGAAAGCGACCTGTCACAGATAGTACGAGGAGACTTCGGCATTGAAGAGGTTTGAACCACATTGTATAACGCGTTTACGATAGCATCAGCTATGCTTGTCCGTCTATATCATCGATGTATATTCAGATATAGAACGCAGCATCCCGATATCGAGCAATGCTTGCAAGTTCCCAAGTCCTCGGACTCTCTCCAATCGACTTCTTCTAGAATCCGGCTTCTACGTTCTTCTCTTCCGAAAATCCGTGACGGTCAAAGGGGGAAGGTTAAACCAGCGGAGTTGCAGGAAAAGATTGGCGCCTGGTGGGGCAAGCCCTCGAATATTCACAAACGGGTTTTACGGGAGCCTCGATTACGACGCAATCAAGCGTATTGCTGCAACTGCGACAGGAAACGCAAATACGTCTGTAGAGATGTGTGCCCATGTCAACACGTTCGCAAGGGGTGCGACGCTTGCTTGCAAAGGCTAAATTTAGCAACAGAACCATTGAATCCAGGAAAAATCGTCGCCCTCGACCAGTCCCAGGTTTCTCAATCAAATACTGAAAGAATTAGAGCAAGTCTCGCCTTAAAGAGCCTGTTGATACATACCTCAGTATCGTTCTCGGAGATCTTCGGCGTTATCGATCAGCTTTCATCTGAGGAATGTCGGCTTTTGTCGTGTACACGGGAACAATTTTCACAGAAAGAGTTCTTCTATCGCTTCGCAGTAGGAGGAACAGGGGCTGAAGATGAGGATATGAGAAAGTTAGGGGCTCTGTACAACCCAGGCCTGACCGTGGAAGAGCTCTGCAAGCTTTGGAATTGCCTCATTGTAAGTTGACCTGAACACAAGATACGATATCAAACTAATTTCCTACTAAGAAGAATATTAAGTCAAAGGTGAAGTTCCTACCCGGGGATACTTGGGAAGCACAGATATTTCTCCATCGAACAGGTAAGTGCTTCTATGACAATTTTCCCCTACAAAATAAGTAACTATAGGCAGATCCCCACCCTAATCATCGAGGAGCAAGGTATGACTTCTTAGACCGAAAGTCTTCTACCTGAATATCGGCTACTCTTGTGTATTATGTTCTAGACATTCCCAAAGCTTGGGGAGCTGTATGATGTGTACTTTAAGAGGAGAGAACCTAAGTTACATCAATGGGAAAATGTACAGAGGCAGTATCTTGTGTGAAAGCGGCTGAGATACGCTTGACCTTGGAGAAAATACTAGGTCTGGTGTATTGGTTAAGGATGATGAAAGAGGTCGCGACTGACATGGGTTCTTTAAGGACGTGACCAAAAATAAGAAGACATGTGCGACAATCTCACCTCTCAATAATTTTAATATACCTCATTATTCTCGATCAGTATATATGTATTATTCCGTAACTAAAAAGTGCTTAATTTATATATTAAAAGGTCTAACAACTACTTACATAAACACTATTTTGCATTCCTGAATTAGCTAACTATTGAATTCCTTCGCAGGCTGCATTAGCGTTAAACCCCCTACCTAAAAATGAAATAAGTTCCTGTTCTAATGCTTTAAGACCACATCAAATTCCATAAGACTTAAGATTCTCTTAAGGATGTTCACATTCATCGTCTTTCTTTCAGGAGCCGACTCGGACTTCTTACCCATTGCTATTCTTCTTGACCTTTGGTTCGGGGCCATCATCTACTTCATACCTATCCAACTTTATCTAGACCGTAGGGCCCAGACGGCAGAAGGTCGTTCAAAATCGGAGATTAATAATTCTAAGAACAGATAATTCGGAAAGCTCCCTAGTCATCTTCACTTGGCACCCTTCCGTTGGACTGCTCGACTTAACCCGTTCGCTTAATAAAGGAAGGAATCCGCCATCTTCATTCTCTCGAGAAGAGTTGTTCTTCGACATTCCATATATTCTCTTCTGGATCGATTTGTTACTTACAGTCCGCGATCCATTTCGCTGTATCAATCCGCAGTCTTACGAGCACAGGCCTGACGTGCCATTTACAAGGTCAGTGCAGCCTCTCACAGCATGAATAATTGCTAACAGAATTAGACCACTCGTTCTCCTAGAAGTCTGACCTACGATCCTCCTCATCGTCCCTAAATACCTATCATGGCAAAGGGCTACATCAGCATTGACTTCGGGACTGGAGGCACCCGAATGGGATGGTTCAACAAAAACGATAAATGCCGTACACAGATTGGAAACTATCCAGGGGCACAAGCAGGAACACCCTCTCTCGTTCTACAAGCACCGTCAGATATCGTATATAAACGGAACGGCGAGGGAACAGCGATTCCCGTAGCATTTGGCTACACCAGACCACGCAAAGGCCTAGGCGAAATACTTGTATTTAAAGTGAAGCTTGCTCTTCTACCTCACTCAGGAGACTACGATTATGCTCAAAATTCCTTGAAAGATGCTTCCGACACCCTCAAATTGGGATCTACGCAACAAATCAGAGGACTTTCTCAAATTTGCAATCGAGCACGCCACGAAGGAATGTGGTGGACAGCCTACGGAAGGTTGGGTCGTCTCGGTACCTCAATCTTACGGGATTGATGAGGTACAGAGCTTTCGAGCAATGATCCAGAGAGCGGGCGGCCTTGGTGACATTTATATACATGGCGAAAGTGACTGCGTTACTTATGCTCATCTAACATCGATAGAGGAGAACATTAGGCTGGTAAAGAAGGAGACCTTTGGAAAGAGGCAGAACTTGACAGTTGCGGTGGGAGTAATCGACCTCGGCGCTGGCACAGCGGTATGTGATTCCTGTCATATAGGAGGTGGACTAACGGTCTCTAACTAGGATGTGACGACTTCCGAAATATGTTTTAAAAGAGACGGCACCGCTCCCACGATCAACGAATTAAGAGCACCACTAGGTATTCTATAATGTTCAAGCGTATGGGATTCGAGCTGACAATCTCTATAGGTTTTGCAATTGGAGGGGATTTGTTTGATGACCGATTTATTGAAGTCTTGCGTGCTAAGTTTGGGATCCAGCTATCCCCGGAGGCGGAAAAGGTCATCTTTGAACCGTTCGTTGACTACTTTCACCAGTGCTCAAAGCCGCAGTGGTCACTATACAATAACGAAGACGACGAGTATCCATTTCTTGTGCCAGAAGGCGCCCCCCGTTTCGTGCTGACAGTGTGAGTCTTTGCAATATAACGATTCGCAGTCTTAACCCCTAACTCGATCACAGGGAGGATATGGCTTATATTATGAAGCCACCAATTATCGAAACTTGCCGACGAATTAGCAATCATCTCGGTGAACTAAAGCACTCTCTACAGCTTGTTGTAGTCTCGGGCGGAAATTCTGAAGTGGCTGGGATGATGCCTCTTATGAGAGTCATGCTAAAGACGATGAACATTGTCAGCGCCGACTAACAAATCATTCACTTGGCCGGACAGTCATCGTGAGTACAATCCAATGGGCCTTACGTCAAGTCAAGACTGACAGAGTTCTAATAGAAATGCTGTGGTACGTGGTCTCCACTTCTGGATGACCAATCCCGATCTCGTTGGAGGGAAGTACGCTCGGATTACTTTGGCTCGAGAGGTGCAGCGACCTCGCAAGCACCTAGCTAGTGGAACAGAGCTTCTTGAGCAAGACATCATAGATGCAGACTTCTTCAACTGCGCTGAGATGATTATGAAAGAGGTAAGAGTATCCTTTGCACGGGAATATTAGCTCATCACATTCCAGAGTGAATTTGTGCCAGAGGGCGTTCGGACTGTAGCTACATACTTCGACATTGATGCTGACGCGGAAACTTTTGATGCGAGCCCTATTGTGATATGCGTGCCGAACAAAGATGCCGCTGAATGTATTTCCGGCACGCGATTTGGTGTTTTGCATCTGAGAGCCGTCCCGTCGGCGTTGTAGATATAGCACCAGCCCTGGCGGGTATTAAAGTCGGTGACCTTCGACGTGTGGGAGACGCGCGCCTGTTCTGGCTCCGTCTGGGGGTACAAATAGGCGCAGAAATCACAATGACGGCATCGTGGAGACCCGACGGGCGCAAGGCTAAAGTGGACACAGGCTACATTTGTTCTCGACAACCTTGAACTGCCTGAGAAGGCATTGTTGAATGACTTTCGCGCTCCAGTACAGCAACGTGAGGGCTCTGATTCAAGCATACGCGAAGACACCTTGCCAGACCATATTAAGAGGCTAAGGACTCATGATCCAGCTTTCACACCTACTCCATCCTGTTGGGGTAAGTTCTCCCTTGTTAGCATTCAACCCCTCGCAAATAAAATCCCTCGCAAATAAAATCCCTCGCAAATAAACTGACACAACTGATCAACATGAACAGGTGTTGCCGATCAGCCTCGTGCAAGCAACGTAGACCCCGGGTCTACTTTGCCGACGAACGAGGGAAGCGAAGGTTTCGTCAGATTGGCTGAAGTTCAAAGAAAGAGAAGTTTCTCTGATGTTGGCGAAGAGCAGACTTCCCAGAGATATGCCCGTGATGTTGTTCAGAGCCAGCAGCAGAGGTTATTCGACCAGTATCAAACCCCATATCCAAACTCGCCCCTACTCCCATTGCCCCCGATTACGGGCGGTACGCCGTTTGTCAATACAGGACATCCACAGATCTGGCCTGCCAGCTTTTCACACCAGCAAATGCCAATGTGGACTTCGCCAGAACCAGGCCCGATAAGTTCACTGGCGCAAGCTCAGCACGGGTTACATGACAAAGACGAGAGGCGATTAGTTGATCCGCAGCAACTTCAGCAGCAACTTAACGAACCTCGGACACGAGCAGTCGGGACAGGGTCAAAGTTTAACGCTGAGAACCAAGTTCCACTAATTACAACAACACTGCAGTTTCCCGGCAATAGTGAGGGTTGGGCTACGAACAATGGTGGAATGCCGTGGTCAAGTACGTCACCTAGCTCTGAAACTCATTCAGTACCGCTATATCTAACCTCAAACTTTCTACCACAGCTCGGCCCAATTGAACGCACTCTAGCAATTTGGGTGAAGAAAAGTATTCCACGTCCCGCGGATGCTGTAATTGAAACCAAGGCTCGCTTTTTTACGGCTATGTGTGGGAATGATGACGATTGTGCCTTGGTCAATACTACTGGTTGGGTTGAGCGGTTTAAGGAAAGGAATGGTATTCTTAATATCCCATATCCAAACTCGCCCCTACTCCCATTGCCCCCGATTACGGGCGGTACGCCGTTTGTCAATACAGGACATCCACAGATCTGGCCTGCCAGCTTTTCACACCAGCAAATGCCAATGTGGACTTCGCCAGAACCAGGCCCGATAAGTTCACTGGCGCAAGCTCAGCACGGGTTACATGACAAAGACGAGAGGCGATTAGTTGATCCGCAGCAACTTCAGCAGCAACTTAACGAACCTCGGACACGAGCAGTCGGGACAGGGTCAAAGTTTAACGCTGAGAACCAAGTTCCACTAATTACAACAACACTGCAGTTTCCCGGCAATAGTGAGGGTTGGGCTACGAACAATGGTGGAATGCCGTGGTCAAGTACGTCACCTAGCTCTGAAACTCATTCAGTACCGCTATATCTAACCTCAAACTTTCTACCACAGCTCGGCCCAATTGAACGCACTCTAGCAATTTGGGTGAAGAAAAGTATTCCACGTCCCGCGGATGCTGTAATTGAAACCAAGGCTCGCTTTTTTACGGCTATGTGTGGGAATGATGACGATTGTGCCTTGGTCAATACTACTGGTTGGGTTGAGCGGTTTAAGGAAAGGAATGGTATTCTTAATAACCCTCTGTAGATAGCCATCGCGGGCCTAGGGAAGTTCTTTGACTTCTCTTTAGCTTTCAGTCCTTAAATCAAAATCATTCTAGTATGTCGAATAAAATGTGTTGAATTTCTCTTTTGGAATCCCTTCTCGTAGTTCCTTAGCGTTGACTCTTATTACTATTATATGAAGTAAGTTCCTGTTCTAATATACTTCAAGACAAAGCAAAACTCTACAAGACTTGAGATTCTCTTAAGGATGTTCACATTCATCACCTTTCTTTTAGGAGCCGACTCGGACTTCTTACCTATTGCTCCTCTTCTTGACCGGCTATTATCTACTCTATACCTTTTCGACTTTATCTAGAACATAGGACCTAGACAGTAGAAGACCGTTCAAAATCGGAGATTAATGCTTCCAACAAGAATAAATAATTCGGCAAGCTCCCTAGCCCCCTTCACTTGGTACCCTTCCGTTGCTCGCTTAAGTGGGCCGCATCTAATGGCCCCAGTTCTTACCATGGCATAAAGGGAAGGTGGGAGAATCGTTGCGACACCCGGACGATTTGAAAATCACCCACTAAACATTCTCTTCCTTTTTTTGCTTTCGAGCCTCCCGCCATACACTACCATCGCCAGCGTATTGTGTTATCATAAGAAAGCATGCCTTCTACAGATCGGCCTCAATCGTCCCACAAATCTTCGTCACACGACGATGCTCAAATTCATAACCTTGCCGTAATTGCTCGTATTATGAAGGATGCCTTGCCAGACAATGCAAAGATCACAAAGGATGCAAAAGAGTTTATACAGGCTTGCGTCAGCGAGTTTATCTCTTTTATCACAAGCGAAGGTATGTCTCATTACGAAAGTGTGTATTTTGCTAACAATCTTATTATAGCAGCTGAGAGTTGTCCCAACAGCGGGCGCAAGGCGATCACTGGTGAGGACATTGTGTCCGCCCTTGACTCAGTAGGTTTCGAGAACTACGCAAAAGCCTTGAAGATTTATTCATCCAAGTATCAAGAAGTAATTTATTATTCGACATTACCGTCAATAGCAAATCAGAACTGACTAATGCAAATAGAAACAAATGATTGAAGGTGAAAACCAATCCAGCAGCCAAGGCTATGAAGCCGCTAGCGTATCAGACGGGGCGGCAAATATAACCTCATCAAACACCCTCCCCGGCAGCGCTGAAGGAAACAACAACGATTTAGGCAGCTAGTCTAGCAACCTGGCTCTCATCTGCCACAACCTGCTCTATACCACTTCAAGTACTGTCTATCGTTTCCACCTCCTATGCTTATACTAGTTTGACAAATAGACTTGGGGTCGGCTATTATTTCATATTTTTCCACACATTTTCTTTAGAGATTCTTTTAATTGTGGCTCATTGGTTATTTGATTGGTTTCTTTTGTACTATGGCTCTCAGGGCACAATTTTATTATATTAATTCCGTCATAAGCTAAACGTATAAGGAGGCAAACTCTTGCTCATATACCTGATTGCAATTTGTTGGACTGAAGAAAGGTCCGTGAAGGCCATCATCGTTAGTCAACTCACCACCTCGCTTAAATTTGATCATCACTTTACCGCTTTTTTGACCACCTCAACCTATGCTACCCAGCAGGAGGAACCAGTCAACCTTTGGTAATTTTATCGATTATCATCATACCTAACTTTGTGTCACTATACAAGTGAGTGGGACTTCGCATGGCGGGATGGCCTAAGCAAGTGATGATAGATTCCCTTCCGCATGTACAATCAGTGACCACTTATACTCGGCACCTGCCCTTTTCACACCAAAACATGTTGTTTAGACTTTGAAGTATTTCTACCTTACACCCTAAATAAACAGCTGTCCTTGTAGAAGCTTATTAATTCGAGAGTTATATATCAATTCACTTACTCGGATTTTATTTCAAATATATAGCTCAAAGGTTAATAGGTAGCAAAGTTGGGTAAAGTCGTAAAGTGCACGTTTTACACCAAAAATCGGCCAAAATCGGCCAAAATCGACTACTCCACGTGGACAACATTCACAAGAGCAATATTTTTTGCTAGTAATGCGCGTTGAATGAAAAGTTAGATAGGGTTCTAATTAATACGATTTATTAATTATAGAAAAAACTATCGAGGGTGGAAATAATGACAAGTGATGCAAAAGTAGGCAAAAGGGCGGTTTTTGGTGGGGTTTTGCCAAGTGCCGAGTACAAGTGGTCTAGTACTATAGAAATTGCTTCGTCAGATTTTTAAGACATGATGCCATCAAATACTAAGTTATTGGCGTCTAGTAGTTGCGAAAGCTCCTCCTTGAGTATTATAAACCATCTGTCTAGTCGTTGAGCCGCGCGTCGGAATAGTTCGAGAGCCCCGAAAACTTCAGAACGTAGACACAGCTTTCGAAATCTATTAGGGCAGAAGCAACTCTCTCCTTAATAATGATGTTTGCTAGATAAAGATCAAGATGTGTAAGTACAATGGTCTGTTCGCAGAAACGGAGTCTTTCCTTGATGAAAGATTTTCATCAAGCCAATCAGATGGTGGGTTTTGGATCTTTTTGGTTCTTAGGGAAGGGATTCTATTGGATAGAATCAGTCCATGAGCAAGTCCTATAGTTACGGAATTCCATCTCCAGAAAGCGCAAAAATCCATTGGCCTTAAAACAAGCCGCACTTCCAGGACCCCACTTTCAATTTTGGATTTTCCTGGCCAATGGAATCCCTTCCCTAAGAACCAAAAAGATTCAAAACCCACCACCTGATTGGCTCAATGAAACCTGGATACCGTTTCTGGTAGACTTTTGGATTCTTTAAGTAACGTGTAGTCCAGGACACAATAAAATCACTTGCACTCAGAGGCCTTTCGAATGAGATCCGATCCGATAATGTAGCCCGGGAAAATTGAAGTCTAGCTGTTTCGGGATAGGGATCGCAAGGGAGACTGCGTTAGTTGGCAATCCAGTTGCTGCAAGCTGCGTCCTCCAATGTGGTGGTGGCTCTCGTTGTCCCTTTTTCGCTTGTGGTTGATCTTTGGTATATCGCAGGAATGTATACTGGGGATGCTGAAGCCACGAATTCACTTTCAGATTTTCGAACGACTCCATCGTCTCTGTATTTTGAGGTATTATGAAGAAAGGTGTTTACTATGCGGATTATTTGTCTTAAGTAGCACAAGCTGTCTTTAAAGCCGACGGCGTCGGAGCCTTAGGCCAGCGATGCAGGGTCGCCCTTTGCATATCCTTGCATCAACATTCAATTGTCACTGGATGCTATAATTAAATGTGCGTACAGTCGTCAACCAATGATCATTCAAATAAGCACGAAAATTTTGTCTTTATCTTTGGTATATCGCAGGAATGTATACTGGGGATGCTGAAGCCACGAATTCACTTTCAGATTTTCGAACGACTCCATCGTCTCTGTATTTTGAGGTATTATGAAGAAAGGTGTTTACTATGCGGATTATTTGTCTTAAGTAGCACAAGCTGTCTTTAAAGCCGACGGCGTCGGAGCCTTAGGCCAGCGATGCAGGGTCGCCCTTTGCATATCCTTGCATCAACATTCAATTGTCACTGGATGCTATAATTAAATGTGCGTACAGTCGTCAACCAATGATCATTCAAATAAGCACGAAAATTTTGTCTTCATATACATTCTGATTGGCTATGTTTGATGATACACGTGACTACTAAAAATTCAAGTGTAAACGTGTGGAGTAAACTACTACTAGCTGAGTACGAGAGTTAAGTGTATACTGCTATATCGAATAACAAAGTGAGGAAAGAAGAGAGCTCCAGAGGAACGGAAGCTTTAATACACGTGATCTTTCCCAACCCCCAGTTCCTCCAACTCCGTAACACCAAGCACCTCTTCGTTCCTGTCAGGTGCTTTACTAGTTCTCCTTCTTCTACCTGCAAGCTTTGAAGTTTTTATTAAAGGCTTNACCCCCAGTTCCTCCAACTCCGTAACACCAAGCACCTCTTCGTTCCTGTCAGGTGCTTTACTAGTTCTCCTTCTTCTACCTGCAAGCTTTGAAGTTTTTATTGAAGGCTTTCTATACTTTGCTTCAATATCTTGTGATCGTAGGTTGACCGGGAGCGGGTAATGAGATTTCTAGCAATCTTTTAGTATATGCAACTATAATAGATAATTATACACTTACGATTTGCTCCTTTGAAGGTGGCCACGACTCAAGATCGTCGGAGTTGTACGTGATAAGCTTGCCTGTTTTACGAATACGTAAGACTAGTGCTACGTCAACGTCGCAGAAGAATGCCATCTCGTATGCTTTTTTAATCAAGGTTTCTTTTCGTCTGCTCAACCTCTCGCTTTTTCTTTTAGGATTGCTGGCCATAATTAACTCAGGAGGTTAAAGCACTTTTAGAATGATATTGCTCCTTTTATATACATTTGTTTCTGTACAGTTAGACAGGCTGGAAACCGAGAGTGGGTAAGCGACCTTGCTCTCTCTCATTTCTATTTTAATCCAACCGACCTCAAGCGCCCACGTTAGGGAGCTAAATTTTGTTCACCATCACCGTCTGCTAAGCGCAGTCGAATGATGACCGAGCAGGGGCTAAAAGAAAGGGGGCGGAAGGTGCACAGAAACAGAAAGACCTCGGAAAATATTTCGTGAAATCGTTTTATGAATTTATAGCACTGTTAATTTTCTACTGGACTCTGCTAACCGCCAGCTGCCCCGGATTTCAGGAAATCACCCTATTTTCTATGCTCTCGGTGATGCAAAGTAAGATGTCTAGAAATGAAAGCTTATTTGGAAAAGCTCTTGAAAAATCTTCTAGCAACTCTTAGAAGCTTGTCTAGAGCGAATAAATCAGGGCGGTTAGGTAGATTTGAAAAAAGAAATGTAGAAGCCTAGTAGAAATCTACTAGTTCAAACAAGGAGGGATTGCTAGAAACTTTCGAGCCCAGTAGAAATCTACTGGTCTCGCCTCTTTCCCGGAGTTTTTGTAAAATCTTAGAGGCTGGTAGAAATCTACTAGTCTAGTTCTACTGGTCTCGCCTCTTACCGCGGGGGTTTTTGTAAATCCTAGGAGACTGGTAGAAATCTACTGGTCGAGGGACATCCGACGGGTTTTCGAAACGGATTTTCGAAAAAGGTAAAGACTAGTAAAAATCTGCTGGTAGAAATCTACTAGTCAGGGGACATCTGACAGGTTTTCGAAAAAAGTAAAGACTAGTAGAAATCTGCTAGTAGAAATCTACTAGCCTTACTCTAATTAAGGGAGGACCGGATGGTCGGATTTACATTACCACGTGTGGATTATTTTTTTACTTTTTCTTCGCATTACGCATGCAAATGGAAAGGTGTAAGCACGTAAGGCTGTAATGCTGAAATTGCGTCGCCGGCACCCTTCGCAGCGCCCTGCTGCATGAGGATAAGACATGCCAAGTGCAGAAACTCAAACGCCTGCCACCTTAATGACTAGGGTACTTGAGTTGTTTGATAATACTCATATCCCCTTAACGTACTTCATAAGGAGTCCGGATTTATAAGCAGTCCGGATTTTTTACCCCACCATCCAACTTTTAAAAACCATAGAACTTTAACCACTTAATATTTATTTATATAAACTATACTATCTTTCTCATTCTCGATCTGGGCACCTAGGAGCAGTATGCGCTAGTGATCTACATATACTACAGGTTCGTGGTGCACGAATTCGTGGTTCAATTAGCGGGGCCACAGCTTCATCCAAAACCATATTATCACTATTTTGATTAAGTTCCCTCCCTTCCTGACCTGTAAGAACACCCCCAGTAGCAATATATTGACGTCGCACAGTCTTCTTCTTCTTTTGATCCTCATATGTATTATGGGGTGTCTCAGGGACCCAAGGTAGTAGGTTTGGAGAAAGTAAAGGAGGAGTAGGCGTATGTAATTGAGTATGTAATTTACTCAATAATTGATCTGGGTTATACGGGACAAGGCCAGTAGTTGCGAATCCATTACAGATTGTGTTTTTGACCATAGTACTTGTACGGGCTACACGATATATTGAAAGGAAGTCTGGTTTATCGATATGATATGTGCCGGCTCGTACTAGCTCCTCGACTCCTCGTCCATAAAGTCGCTTTAAAACTGCAAAGCAACTAACATCTAATGGCTGTAAAAGATGAGATGAGTGCGGTGGCATACAAAGCGTTATGATGTTATGTTCTGAACAGAAAAGATCGAATTCGGGAGTAGAATGACTACCATGGCCATCGAGGATTAAAAGGCGATATACTCCTTTTACACGGTCCTTGGTATATTTCTCAAATACGTCTGAAAGCCACTTAAGACCTAAGGAATCATTGGTCCACCCTTTATCACTAAGTGCAATCGTCCAATCTGCTGGTAATTGATCTGTATACCAAGTCGATATATGCACCTTGCCCTCAAATTTAACCATTGGAGGCAACACCCATCCATCTGCAAAAATTGATTCGACAACTGTAACCCATTCGCGATTCCCTGGTTGTATATGGATAGCCCGTCCTGTATATTCTGACCCTGTAACAACTTTTGCGGTCGCAATTACTCCCATCTGAAAGCCAGTCTCGTCGAAATTGTATATATCCTCCGTGTGAGAGGCCAGACCTCGAATAGCTCAAAGGTGTGGTTTCGAATATTCAATTAAGAAGTGCGTGAAGACTACATACATTCTATCTCTTCCTCTATATATAGAGAGAGGAAGAGTTTCTGGAGTCTTCCAAGAAACTGTTTGACAAATACGTGACGTCAAAAGAATGGAGTAGAAAAGTGTAGAAAAGGAGAAACCAATTTAGCAGTGGAGCAATGGCCAATGCTGAGCGGGGACTTTGGTCAGTGCTCTTCCTCTATATATAGAGAGAGGAAGAGTTTCTGGAGTCTTCCAAGAAACTGTTTGACAAATACGTGACGTCAAAAGAATGGAGTAGAAAAGTGTAGAAAAGGAGAAACCAATTTAGCAGTGGAGCAATGGCCAATGCTGAGCGGGGACTTTGGTCAGTGCTTAGCGAGGGCATGGCCCGAGCCTCCATCATGGGTTCCAACCCTCACATTAAGTCATCTGGTTTAGTAGTAGATTCGGGATGCCGTAATAACACCCTCCTAGCAATCCATCCTTGAAAATCCAACGCATTAAAAACCCACCACAATCCAATCAGTTATCTAGTAAAGTGATGGATGCTCATATTATCACTTAAGATATACCCCTGAGCGGTTCGTCGGTCTGACTAGTCGTTTCCATGATGGTGATCCCAGTGCCCAGCAACATCTTCTTCTCTTGCTTTAACGAGCCACAAATAAGCGAACGAGTAAAGTACTAGGGGGTCGTTATCGCCGGCCGTAATATTTTGTGCCGAATGAATGGCCCTAACTATGAAGTTAGTGTGCATATAGGTCAATGTGCGGAGCCCATTATCATATACAGACCAGCCTCTCAAAAGTGTTTCTGAAGTTGTTATTCTCGCCAGTTCGTACATGAGAGTGTGTGGAAACATGGCGTTGATGTCCTGTGCTTGACTTGGTATCTTTGCGACAAGAACACCAGGAATCAAAAAATGCATATCGTGTCGCAGTAATGGAACATCCCTTGGAGTCTTCAAGTATTGGATTTGTAGTAAACGGAACGTCATTTTGGAATACCTTCAAATGCTTCTCACTTTTCTTGGCTCACCGGCTTGTGGTGTTGAGGATGGCTGACTTCCTGCTGTTTGTGGGTATGGTTGTTTCACTTGATTCTTGGGTTGACTTAAGAGGGCGGAAAGCATGTGGATGGAAACTTATGTTCTGCTCGTGAGATGGAACATATATATATGTAGAGGGAGAGAGGCGAGAAAGATCAAGACATAGATTCCCGTAGAACAAGGAAGTCACAGACACACCTGCCTATCACGAAAAGACAAGTCACAGCTGTTATACGTTAAGCTGAACTTGCGAATGTCGTAGTTAGGTAAATTAAGAGTCTGCCTTGGAATCGAGGATTTTCATGGATCTAGTGGTTTGAACTGGATATAATTAGATACCGAAGTGCAAATTGGGTCCCTTTGAAAAGGTTCTGCGATTTACCAAGCTGTTCAAAAGAAGTCAAATTTATTGCGGCGAAGTATTACTTAATACACTAGTCGTTACCTCACTTCAGAAAAGGCTCTTCAAAACAACGTGTGGGGACGCCATATCTGTTTCTGACAACCCCATTTCTCATTTGCGTTGAGCGAAAACAGCCATCCTCTTCCAGCTGTGGCTCATTCCAGTACTTTGTCTACTCTTCCTCCGAAACTTCCTCGTCTTCTTCTGCTGGCTTCTCTGCTGGTTCCCATTCTGGCTCTACTTCTAATTCCACTTCTGTCATACCTTCTAGATCTGCTTCAATTTCTGCTTCTGGTGGTATGTTCGCCTTCCAACGCTTCCCGCCGCCCGGAGCTTGCCCAGGCATGAGTATAATATTTGTCGCTTCTGAATCTCCTACTTCGTATACATTGCCATTGACGTCTCCCACCACAGGAATCTTATAGCGAGAATCAAAAGGTGGTCGAGTCTCTACTTCTTCCTCTACCTTCACGAGCCACAAGTAAGCGATTTGGTACGCAGGATCATCCCCAAATTTCCCCGAGAGCTTTGCGGAATGAATGGCGCTATATGGTAGTCAGCGCATCAGCTGAGGTGACTTTCAAATGATAATACTTACTATCCTTCGTACACAGACTGGAAGATTCCAGGTTTTGACAATTCGGCAATCAAGGTATGTGGAAAGACTTCTGTGATGTCTTTGTTTGAGTTTGAGGGCGGAGAAGTGACAAGAAGGCCGTTGAAATGCGAGAGTAATGTAATGTTGTGTCTAGTTCTGCCATGACTGTGTCTAATGATACCTTTATCTTCGGTTGAAATAGGCGTCGTTGAGTATCTAAGGAGGATCAATTTGAGTATCTCGGTCGCCATCTCTGCGATGTTTCTTGGTGAGCGAGGTCTGATAATGTGTGTTTTCTTAATTTCGTAGACAAGTTTTTATTTTAATGGTGTTTTGGTTCGTGGTTGATGGGAATTATAATGAAGAGTGTGTTAAGCGCGATTGAGCTGATTATTTGTAACCTGGAATGAGTGTGCGCTATTCATGTTTGATAGACATATTCAAGTTTACTAGGATAATGTGGGAATAAATTTTGGTTTGCTGCTTTGAACGAAGTACCAGTGAATGCTAAAACTTAGGGGATTTTGGCAGTGAAGCATTAAGCGAACAACTCTCTATTTACGCCTATTTGCTAAGATGATCGTCAATTTCCCTCCATTTTGGTTTGTCACATCCCTCCAGGCCAACACGTAGAATAATGGCTGCCAACAGTTATTCGAAAGGAGTTGTCCATAAGGTACATAGTACTGTAATAACGTTCAAGCAGGGAATGTTTGATTGCGGAAGCAACAAAACACATTTCTTAGCTTGGTTAAATGTACTGATTCAGAAGGGTCTTATCACGAAATCTGAACTTGAAAAGATTACTTACACCGAAAGCAATTGTGCTTTACCGTGACAGTAATCCGAAGTATATCGTAATGTTAGAGTTAAAGAATTATTACAGCGTATAGCAGATTATGACCATACATTAGACCTCCGAATCGGGGTAATGTCGATTGACTCGAGCCTGGATTTTGAGTCAGTTCTTTGTCCGACTGAAGAGTTTGTCCAATTGAAGAGTTTTTGTGATCTTACACCGCCGTGAAGTCTTCATTCTCGGCTCTACATCGCCCATCAACTTCGCCGCGGAGGCTACTATTAAGGTTATTTTCTAGCCCTGCCTTATCCAAATGAACTCAAATTAGGCACAGCAATAGAGAATTACCGACACGAAAGGAAAGTCTTGCCTTTTTAGTACTTTCAAAGTCACATTCGAGATTCCCGCCAATGGAAATAATTACGGTTAGAACTTGCTCTCTCAATTGCATCAAATAATGACGCAATGTAACCTTTCAGAATGCCCCTTCCAGAATATAATGCGACGTCTTGGCTCAAGTTATCTCCTTCCTCTTCCTAATGCTTGGCTCCCTTATCTACCGCTATGGTAGGGGAGAGGGAAGCGAGGAACTTTATTGTGATTGGCTCGCCAAGCTTCGAACCCGCTGCAGCGGCTGCCCAATCCCGAACCTTGTTGGTAGATCCATCCACCTTATTTTGTAGCCATTATTGCAGGGGAAGCTTCCGATTGCTGGTGAGGTCCAGAACAATTTCCACCATGTCTTCCAGCAATAATTCTTGTCTCCTTCCTGGAAGAGAGACGGACTGCTGCGGGATGGATACATTCCGACGGACACTGCATTTGCATGCAGCTCTTGGAAAAAATCCATAGACATAGGAGCGGTTTGTTGATCACTGGGAGGTGGTTATAAAGAGCTGTCGGTCTGGTCAAGAGCTTCCATTCTTCAGTGCTCACTGCTCATTCCATCTTGCCTTCTTTCTTCCCTTCTCATCAATTAATTTTGTTCTAGATTCCTGTCAATATGAAGACCTTTTCCAAGCTCGCTGCACTTGCTGCTCTTGCAGCTTCAATTGCCTATGCAACCCCACACCTCAGAGACCTGCCTATCGTTGAATCTGTAAGGATATTCCGCCTAACACCAATTGACCTCCAAAGATGTGAAAAGATTCACTAAACAGGTCTTAGAGTCAACTCCGTAGTGTTCTTACCCGTTCCGAGCTTCTAGCAAAAGCTCAGATCCTCGAGGGCTTCGCATACAACACCACCGAGCGAAACCGTGCGATCTTTTCCCCTGGCCACAAGGCAACCTACGAATACATCTACAAATTTATCCAAGAACTGGGTGACTACTATGATGTTGAATACAACGAGTTCACAGCCGAGTCCTCAAGTGGAAAAGCAAGTGTAGACGGGGTCGCAATCGCGAGCGCCAGCCCTATGACATACACAGCCAGTGGCGTTGTAACTGGCAAGGTCGTTAAGGTTGCAAACCTTGGATGTGATGCTGTGAGTCAATCAGGCTTTTGGTTCATTCTTTAGTAGGTCAATTGGCTAATATTGCTGTAGGCGGATTACCCAGCAGAGGTGTCAGGCAGTGTCGCACTCATTATTCGAGGCACATGCACCTTTGGCGCGAAGGCTAAACTCGCTGGACAAGCCGGTGCCATTGGAACTATCATCTACAATAATGTTCCTGGTGCTTTTGGTGGTACTCTTGGCGGAGCTGATGCCGATTTCGTTCCCACTGTTGGAATCACTGATGTTGACGGTCTTGCTTTGGCTTCTGCCATCGGGAACGGGACCAAGACTGCCACTCTCGATGTCCTGGTTACCCAGCTACCAACGTAAGTTCTCGGTTCTCTAGATGAGCCAATGTGCAAGTACTGACAGGAATAGATACAACGTGATTGCTCAAACGAAAGGTGGTGATCAAGAGAACGTTCTCACTATCGGTGCTCACAGCGATTCAGTGCCAGCGGGCCCAGGAATCAACGACAACGGTTCAGGATCTATCACCCTTCTCGAAATCGCCAAACAACTCACTGCATTCAAGACTAACAATGCTGTTCGATTCGGTTGGTGGTCTGCTGAAGAAGTCGGACTCGTGGGCTCCACCAGGTATGTTGAGGGTCTTTCCCCAGAGGAACTCGCCAAGATCAAGCTTTACCTCAACTTTGACATGTTGGCTTCCCCCAACTACGTTTACGCCATCTATGATGGTGATGGATCTGCTTTCAACACCAGTGGTCCACCAGGGTCTGATGCTGCCGAGCGCTTGTTCGAAGACTATTTCAAGAATGACGCCAGTCTTCCATTCGTCCCAACCGAATTCGATTCTCGATCCGATTACGCTGCTTTCGCCGCCGCTGGTATTCCAGTTGGAGGACTCTTCACTGGTGCCGAGGTTCAGAAGACTGAGGAGGAAGCTGCTATGTTTGGAGGACAAGCTGGTGTTTCGTACGATGCCAACTACCACCTTGCTGGAGACAACGTTGCAAACCTCAACATGGATGCTTGGATGGAAAACTCCAAGGCTGTTGCTCATGCTGTCGCTACTTACGCAACCAGCTTTGAGAGCTTGGGCAATGAGAACAGCATAGTTGCGCCCGAAAGAGCTCAGTGGAGACAGAAGCTCCCAGCTGGAGAGCCAGTTGCTGCTCACCGTATTGGTGGTTGCTCCCACTCTCATGATAATGATGTTGAGATTTAATTGTAATGTTATGAATGGCGATATTAGAGCTAATATAATGCCAATACTGAAAAAATTACCTGAAGTAACCCGGTTTCCTGCAAATGACGTGAATGTTATGACCTCCCGAACTGTTTCCTTTTGAAGTTTCCGAAACCAGCATGTTTTGATTCAACATCGAGGATTGGCCCTACCACAATTATGGTTGTTCGAAGAGCACGAAGCCAGGAATTTGCAACCATACATTTCGGAGCAGGTGACCACCTAACTTGCTAACAGTATATAAAACCCAGAACTTTACATCAATTATACCTAATTTGAAGCATATACTCTTCCTCGGGTGCGGAAGAGCTGCTAGCCGAGGAACCCTATTTCGGCAATGACTCAGCCAATCAAAGTCTGCTGAAGCCTCGTTTCATACCTTGCCTGAAGTCTCTGCCACACCAGGGGATACACAGGCGTTTTCAATTCGTTTTGGGAGCATGTCGAAAGCAATCGTAGAATTCCCGCATAAGTGCCAGATACCACGATACCTGTGAAGATTAGTGGTAGCCAATATTCAAAATGAGGGGGTGATCTTCAGACAGCAAGGTCAAATTGATGCTGAAGATATAAAAGAATATATAAAGGTGATGGTTTTATGTACTAGAACTCTGGAGAACTGTATAGTGGCTGGTATGACATAGCTGGTCACATGACCACTTGCTTCATCAGATCTAACCTTCTTTTCCCTCTACTCGTACTTTGCTATTACTGCGTTAGCCGAATTGCTAAGCGATAAAATCAGGGGGTCGCAGCAATATTCGGCAAAGGTACCAACCATAACCCATAACCACTCCTGGCATGTCTATTTTCCATTTATTCACTATTTACCCAGAAATAACACATCAAAGTCTGACGTGCTATTCAAAGAATTTCAACCATCTTTAGTTCAGATCGCGGCACCCAATGAACGAGCGCCAAGGCTACCCGAAATCACGCCTTCCACCAATTCTATTGTGAATTGGTGTCGACGATCAAAATAGTAAAGCGAGGCTCGTTTTGATGAGAGACTCACTTCCTCAAGCTTGAAATGTATTCGTTCTTAAATGCGTGATCCGCTGGGTATGAGGATACTTGTACGATTCAACTGTAACAAGTGGGAGCGAAACGCTATGACGATTGCATAAGGTTGCTGCTAGGAATATCCCATGTGGTTTAAGCTCACAATACTCGTATGGTTCGACGAACCACTCCGTTCCTGCATGTTTTAAACGGCGTCCCGCTCAGGAAACATCCGAAATCGATCTCAAGTTTTATATTTTACTTTCAGATCGGACCCACTGATCCTGGATCCTGGATTCTCGGGAAGTGAGGGACTTCTAGACTAAGTTGAAAACTCTCTCTTTGGCTCATCTTCAACGTGCTACGGAAGTGGTTAGGTTTAGAGCTAGTCTTGTTTACGGAAAGTATGGAGATAGTATTGTTGGTCTCTTTAGGCTATCTTGATGGTTATGACCGAGTTCTTTCAATATAAGACTTCTCCAAATTCGTTTCTCAGAAGGAAAGTATAACAATAAACTCGAATGCAATTTTGAAGTCAGAAGAACTCGGATCCTGTCAAATCCCGCTTTCGTAGGAGCTAAACAGCTTCAGAATCCTAGCATAACCAGGGCATTGCTATTTAGACCTTTGATAGGGAAACTTAAAATCCCCGGACTCTAATACTCAGCTAGACATCCCCTTATAGTATGGTTAGCTAGCTTTAGTGTTTAGCTAACGCGTAGGATGGTTATAAAGTTATTGAGAACACATCTGACCGATGGATTTCCTGGCCCTTCTTGCGCTTTGAACAATCATCTTAACATCGACAATCCTTAGTACTCATAGGAATTCCAGTGCAAATATGGGTTCAACCCTTATGTGGTGGTTGACTGCGATTATTGCCTTTGCCACCACGGCACCTATTATTGAAGACCGCAGCCAAGGCAACAGTGCGAGCGCTGAGCATGCCATTGGAAAGCGCCAGATGTTATCAGAAGGGCAACCTATCAGCGCAGATGGAGGAGGAGCACCAATTCTCGGTGAATAATGATATTTCCTGGTTGTCATAGTAAGCTAATGGGCATTATAAGGTGGAACAAACAAACAAATCGACTTAGCTAATCCTGATAACCTCGGAGCTCAAAAGTCTGATAATGGTGTCGTTCCCAATCTGAAATGGAGCTTCAGTAATTCCAAGACGAGGATTCTTCCTGGCGGATGGGCCCGTGAACAGGTTGTCACAGACCTACCGTCAAGTCATGATATCTCTGCCGCTCAACAGCATCTTAAGAAGGGCGCCATTCGGGAGCTTCACTGGCATAAAGTCGTGAGTAGCCTTCACCGGATGCCTCAGAATGAAACTTACAAGTATGTAGGCTGAATGGGGATACGTATACGCTGGATCGATCATTGTTTCCGCAGTTGATGAAGATGGAAGATATCAAGTCGACAAACTCGAAGTGGGAGATATATGGTACTTCCCCAAAGGAGCCGCGCATACCATCCAAGGACTCTCTGATGAAAACGAATACCTTCTTGTTTTCGACACTGGTAATTTCGATGCAATAGGGTACAACATTCCCTTCTCCGCTCCTACTTAACACTAGACTGACCAAACCCCAAGTACAACTTTCAATGTCGACGATTGGGTGAACCATACACCCAAATCCGTACTTGCCAAAACTTCGGCGTCAGCGAAGCAGTATTCGACACCGTCCCCTCGCCCAATCCCTACATTTTCAACGCTGAAAACAGCGACATTCCACTGACCGGCCCCGAGAGCGGTCTCACAGGACCCAGTTCTTATGTATTCAAACTTTCGCAAAACAAACCTTTGAACATCCCAGGCGGCGGAGGGAATCTGACAATTGTCGACTCAAGAAACTTTCCGATATCGAAGACGATTGCTGCTACGATTGTTAGTTTGGAACCGGGTGGATTGCGGGAGTTGCATTGGCATCCAAGTGTGAGTTCTGCGTTTTCTCTATGCCGTGAGAACAATCAAGAAATGCCAGATATAGAGAACGATTCCTGACTCTTTTGATAGGCTGAAGAGTGGTTGTATTTCCATCAAGGACAGGCACGTGCTACCGTCTTCATTGGCAACGCCAATGCTAGGACCATCGATTTCTCAGCAGGCGATACGGGCGTATTCCCTAATAACAGTGGTATGTAGTTCCTGGCAGTCACCGAAGGGTTTTTTAATTTTCACTCGTTAGGTCATTACATTGAGAACACATCCCAAACAGAGAATCTCGTATGGATCAAGATCTATAAGGCAGAACGCGTTGCAGATATCCCACTTACCCAGTGGCTTGCTCTCACACCACCGTCAATTGTGGCTAGCACGCTCAAAATCCCTATCGATGTGGTAAAACAGTTAAAGAAAGAGAAACAACTTTTGATCAAAGCACCACCAAAGTAAAAGTAATTTCTGGATGAGGCCCGGGTTAGATATCGGAAATGAATGCGGAGAAAGGGCAAGAAGTGGCCTAATGATTACATAATTAGATCGATATCTTTCATACTGTAGCTTAATCATAATACTCTGTACCAGCACACTTATAAGAGAGCCTGGAGTATCGAGTTTTGAGTCAACCACTTAATTTTCTCGGCGGGGTCAAGGTTGGTGTTGATGTCAAATTCTACCGAGTTGATTGGTCTTTCTTTCCACAGCGAGATTGAATCAAAAGTCAGGTGTGTTCTTTTTTTCAGAAAAGCCTGGAGGGTTCTTCAATCGCCGAAGTGAAAAGTGGCACGATTGTCTTTCGAACGTCATGTCCAATTCCACGTGCTATTCCACGAGCGCGTGTTTTACCTCTCCCCCTCTGGATCCCCTGGCAGAGTCTGAGGCGTGTAGTGCTTGCATTGTCCAAATGACCCAAAGTCGTGCCTCACACTTGCTCAAAAACTTTTAGAAGACGTTTAAAACCTCGCTCATGAGTTCATGCATGGTTCGGACCAGGATCGAATGGCTATTCATAAGTCCACAGGAAAATGGAGTCCTTCGGTCCTCATGTTTTTCGATTTCCGCCTTGACTTGCAATTCTTGCTAGTAATTACGTTCTCCCACTCTTTGAGGTCTTCCTTCAGCGGTTCACACCCACGTCTCATATCTTGAAGCCTTTGCAAATCCCCCGCTTGTTGTTTCTCAGTTGTTATTTGACGAAAAGATCGTATCTGATTCTGGCAAATGACCTGATACCTCTGACTAATCTTTGTCTTTCAAAACAAAACTTGCTTCCAACGCACCTGCAACCTTGATAAGTGGATAATCGGATGATTGTTGAGGTCGCAATCGCCATTGGCTACTGATTGGTTCTCAGCGCCGTGGGAAGAGCCTCTGTTGACTGCTGTGCTTGCGCTGTTGCAATTCCCAATAAGGAGTGGTGTGAGGTTGGGAACTGGTCCTGCTCACTCCTTTCTATTGTTCTTCTTACCAATGGTTGAAGATCTCCTTTGCCACGCAAAACCAGCAAACATACCCTGGTCAAAAAATCCTTTGCGAATGGGGTTTGGAGCTGGGGGGAGAGGGGGCTGCTTTCCATAAACCTTCAAGGTTACCTGTAATGCGGTCCTGAAGGACAAAATTTGGTCTGTAAATGGGAAATAGCGACCTCTTAAGCCATCAAATTCTGACTTCATGATGTAACACTGGTCAGAGTTGCAATGGGTCTGGAAAGACCTCATGGGTGCTCCCCACGTTCCTTCCTGCTTCTAAGTTCTAGCAGAACTATCAGGTCATTGCCCAGTAGCATCCCGTCAATATTCGACAGGGGGTGCACATATATCCCGCATCAGTGCGGCATCATGGCAGACAACTCCACTAGGGCTGGAAACAAAGGTATTAACATCATCGTCCTCTCATATCAAAGTATTATCTCAGTCCGTTTGCTTGACAGTATTCAGGTGTGAAGAATGTGTAGCAAAAGTTTGACCGCCTCATGGGAGTGCACAATTTACGGTAAGGTGCATGCCAGCTTGACTATCAAACTGGATCATTGTTCATCTGCATTCTGCCGACTTCCAATGCTATTGCCTCAGATGACATACTAGAAGAATTTTGTCTCTTCTTTTCAAGTCACAAGAAATATGGTAATCAATGCAGAGAAATGTAGATGTGTAATCTTATAGAAACCCTCCCTCTAGGAACTTATTAACTTTTTATGTTAACTTAACCTACTAACTTTAATAAAACTAGTTAGACTACCTAGATAGTATAATATAAGGAGCTATATAGGTACCTAATTAGAACTTAGAGTAGATTCCTTATTACTTAAACCTTCTCTAATTATAAAATCTAGAATATATACTATAAGTAGCCCTTTATAGTTATTTAATTTAGGCCTTCGATTCTTGGAATATTAAGCCCTATAAGGCCTATAATAACTACTATAACCGCTCTTTATATATAAGGCCTTTCTCTCAATATATTATAATAGTTAATTACTAAGTAATAGAATTATCTTATACTAATTATTAATTATTATAAGTTAATATATAATAAAAAATATCTTTCTAGCGTATAAAGTCTATATTAAAAGATATTATAGTAATAATAGGATTAATCTAATTAGGTTAAGAATATTATAATATTTATTATTAGATTATAGTTATTTATAATATATGTCACGAATCACGTGCACACGTGATAAGTGAAGACCAGGCGGCGTCCTGACAGGTCAAGCACATCAATAGACTTATAGCAAATAAGGGATCGTTTGGGCTAGCTAAGCGATCCAGGGATTTCCTTGGGTTGGAATCACGTGACCAGCGACATGGCCGACACGGTCGACCGTGTCGACCATGGGCGACTGTTCGACCATGGCGACCATGGGAACGNATGGGAACGAGGGTTCTATATAATACTGGCACGTCTGCCATTAGATAGGAGCTTCGTGCTCAACTTAGTTATCAATCTTATCATATTAGTTTTGGCACGTCTGCCATTAGATAGGAGCTTCGTGCTCAACTTAGTTATCAATCTTATCATATTAGTTTGACATCTTTGATACGAGTAACGAGTTCACTTCCAAGTGAACAACCCGATAGTCTTCTTCTTATCATAGCATACCAACCAGCGAACACCCAGCCAAGTTTAGTTAGCCAGTTTGAGTATTCGTTACAATATATTCTTATATAAAGTATATAATATAGTATTTTAGCTTAGACTAAACAGCGTACTTAAATTCATATAGGAGAAGGTCTAGCTATATATGTAACGAATACTCAAACTGGCTAACTAAACTTGGCTGGGTGTTCGCTGGTTGGTATGCTATGATAAGAAGAAG